ATCAATTCTAGCAGTGAACTGGGTCAATATAAGTGCAAAGCTGAGGGCAAAATTGAGCCAGCATATAGCCGAGGTTTCAACTTTACATTAAGAGGTATGCATCTTTTCCAGTAGAAAGACCTGATTAAGATCACAAGTGGATTTTTAGGGATCGCTTTTTTGGTGTGTGTTTGTTTGAGGCAGTGGACTTTCTTTTGTGCTCATGTTATTTATTGCCAAAGAAATGGGGCAATTTGTAGCCCTTCCTAATTCTGCCTGATTACTATCTCTGTAAGTATAGCTACATCAGGGCTCTAGACTACATTTGCTCCATAACCATTCAAAGCTAAAGAGCAGGAAAAGGTACTGGGAATGAGACATAACGTTACTGGGAGTATCTGCTAGCCAAGTGAAGAGACTCTGGAGCAGATGAAGGACTGTCCAGTGAAGAAGGATGCTGAAACTGTAATTCAACAACCTCTAGAACATTTCAGATTCTCCATTCCTAGACAGCAGGAAATTAGATTTTGCATATCTTTGAAGGGAGGATAGTGTTCTTTTTATTTTTTTAATACATATTTTATTATTAAAATAGAATATGGAACAAAGCAAGAAAAAGAATAAGGAACAGTATAACATATAATATATATCATATAAAAATATGAGAAACTACTGAATATAGATTTAAAGAAAAGCATAGCGAGAAAACTTTCTAGTGACAAATCCTCCCTGTCCCATCCATTTGTGCCCCCAATTGCTAACTACAGTTTAAATATTTATGTTTTACAATGAACATTAATGATTGTTGTTGGTTTCTGTGTTAGTCTTAGAAACCATATTCCAAATGGGGAGGACAGTGTTTTGTCAGGTGCTCATAGCAGCCTAGACAAAGGAAATATCCATTTCTACTTTTTTTCCTTGACTTTACTGAGTGAAAATAATAACACACAATAAAGAACTGAGGGGAGAATAGTAACCAAACCAATCAGGTTTCCCAGTCATCAAAAAGTTAATACTGAAGTCAGTCTCTGCCTGTATTTGTCTTTTCTCTCAGTGACTCTTACAAACAATAGAGAATGTATTAGTGGAGTTCTCACTTTTTTTTATTAGAAAAAATAATTCTACATTGCACAAACAGTGTTTTGTCTTTGGCTGTAAATGCCAGAAAAAACAAAACAAAACAAAAACCCAAGCTCCTCCTTCCCATTAAACATAGGCTTTAAACTGGATTTTTAAAAAATCCAATGAAATATTCATTTTATAAAGTTGCAATGCTCCACCATTTATTTTATTTTCTAGATTAACACTGAATCATTACAAGTCACTGGTATATTTATTTTTTGTCTGACTCTAATCCAAGTGAAATAATTTGATTTATTTATGGGGGTTGCACAAATTCTTTATAATGTTAAAGGGTCATAGTATCACAACATTTGAAATCTTCTGTACTAAGCCATCATGTGTTTTGTTTACCTTCAGCTTAATGGGGTCCAAACTGAGACGGTGTGGTTCTAAATCTTGATTGACGGCATACTATTAAAACAGGTCAAGACTTAGTATGCTATATCTGCCCAGCCACTGATTTTGATCCTTTTATGAATACAGCAGAGTTTTGCTTAGGTTTAGGAATTTGCTGTCTCTTAGTTGGCTAGATGGCTGAAATTTTGCTGGATATTCTGTTCCTATTTCTCTGCATCCTGTATCTCTCCAAATCTTGCTCCTGAGAATTGAGCATCCACTTGGGAGTAACAAGGAGGGGAAAGTCTTCAAACAGAGGAGGAAATTGCTGCTGTCCGTGGACTAATAAGTAGTAATTCGTGGAATATCAATTTTAGGATCCAAGGCATTGCTGTTTAATTTATTTAAAATTCCATCATACTGGATGAAAGATATTCATCCAGGCTTACCTGTCATTAATACGAATATTTTTTCTCCTTCTAGCAGAAGAAAGGAATAATCTGGTTGCTTTCATTGTGCCTCCTTTGGTTGTCCTGCTGCTACTGATTGCAGTAGTTGTGGCAATTCCACTGTTGATCCTTCCTTGGTGTAAGACAAGTGAGTATTGGCTGGGCTTGGTTTATTACATTCCTTTGGTCAGAACTGTTTGGTATCCTACAAATTCTAGAAAATAGAGCATAACACTTGCAACTTGCTCCTCACAAGCTAACAGCTTTAATTTCCTTTACTTTTCAGTTAAATTATAATTAAATGTAGTGCACATAATTAGAATATGCTTATGCAATATTGCTATTTTGTGAGCTGCACTGGCTTCCAGTGGGTTTCCAGGTCCAATTCGAGATGTTGGATATCACCTATAAAGCCCTACAAAGCGCAGGGCCAGGTTATTTGCAGGACCTTCTAAGTCTGATTGTTTCTGCTCACCCCCACCAGATCTGACAGAGTGGGTATACCCTGGGTCCCTTTCGTGAAGGAGTGTCATTTAATGGGTCCCAGGAGATGTCTTCTTGCCCTATAGAACAGTACCCCTGTGATCCCCAACCCTGGCCACCTTCTGTAAGGCTTTAAAGATCTGGCTTTTCCCACAAGCATTGAGGCTAAGATGTTCAGTTAACCCAGTTGGTCTATTTGTTGTTTGTCAACTAATTGGTTTGCAAGACGAAAGGGATTCTTTGAACCTCAGGTGCTTTGGTTTTTATTGTTGTTGCAATTGTTTTTAATTATCTTGGTATCAGCCTTTTGAAGTAGTCCAGGTCAAGAAACAGGGATTCCAAGAATGCTGTTTTATTGTTGAAGAGTATATTAACAGAATCTTGAAACCCTTTGCTTCCCCTCTTTTAAGGACCACAGAGTCAAGGTGGAACTGTTCTGAATCTCTTTTCCACAGTTTCTATTTTCTCAGGGCTGAGGAACTGTTTTTCTTCCCCCACTTCCTCTTCAAGTCCAGAGCTGTTATTGTTGATTTGGTTTTTAAATTATTATTAGCCACCCAGAGTCTCATTAACAAGATGAGCAATCATATATATTAATAATAATAACTTAATATTATACATGCTTTGATAATTTATTTTGTCATTATTAAAAAATTAAAATATGGGGACAAATTAAGAATGCTCTGTGGGCCATGACCAAAGTTTTTGAGGCCATCCAACTTCTTAGAGTGCCCCCTTATTCTAAGTTCACCCTTTGTTTAGAACTACTTATCTGCCTGGTAAACAATGTTCTGTTAGCAAAACTGGGAACTACCTGAAACATGTTTTAAAAAAGAAACATGACAAAATAATAAAAACAACATAAACAATTAATAAATAGCAGAGGAAGTATATAAAATCCACTATCTCAGTTTAGAGACTGCATCTGGGAGAAGAGGAATGTTTTAGCCTGGGGCCAAAAGCTTCCTCAGGGAGTGATCTTCATTAGGGGAACCATGTGTTTGAGAAGGTCCTCTTGTTTATAGGCACCTAACTTCATTTAAATTTGATTAAAATTATATATCATTAATAGGATTAACTATTAATGTGTTGAAAAGAAATCTTATCAAGTTCGTTTCCGAGTCAGGAATAAAATGCGCAGGCAGTTGCTTGAAATAGAGATGAAGTTTATTTCCAAGAGCAAATGTTGAGTCAGCTGTCAGGGGCAGCTGCAGTGAGCCTTTTCCTTTAATCCCTTTATATCAAGAAACCTTGCTATTGTTCCTTGAAAGAGCACAAAAGCCCACCCTTCAGGAATTCTGAGAAAATGCACTTAGCCAGCGTTCTGAGAAGGAGCCCTCTGTAGTTGGCACCCTGCTGAGTTGTGGTTTTCCATTTGTTTAATATTTGTTGATCGAAATGGTAATCTCCTAGGATCCCTCCTTATTTGATCAAAGCGATCTGCTAAACTACAGCTAGGAAGGAATGTTATTAGCTTGGCATCTCTCGCTGCATTTTAATCTATATATTTGGCCCATTCTAATTGTAGTTTCTCACCTTTTGCTTTGATCAGGGCAGAAAGACTTCATGCGGGGAGGGGGATTTCCTTCTCACAAATGTGAAGAAGGAAGAAATTAAACTCTGGGGTTTAATCAGGTACCATACCCAAGGCTTTGTGGGATCACATATAACCCTGAAGACTCAGATTGAGCACCTTTGGCTTTAAGCTGAGAATCCAGGATCTAATTTAATTAATTTAATTTTAATTTAATTTAATTTAATTTATATGGCCACTCAATTCATCAAAGCCACTTTGGGCAGCTAATATAACATTAAAAAAAAAGAAATCAAGAAAAACAGAAATTAAAATCAACCTACATTGTGGTCATCAAACACATAATATCACCTCCCAAGACAGGCACATATAACATCCTGAGCCAGATGCTAGACAAAAAGAGAGTTTTTTAGGGACTTCTGAAAGGCTATCAGAGTTCGGGCCAATCAAATTTTTTTTCGGGGGATGGATGATTGTTCCAAAGGACAGGTACTGCTACAGAAAAGGCACGCTTCCAAGGTCCAACTAGATTACCTTGATTTAAAGAAGGGACTTGAAGCATGCCCAGCCTAGAACAGCATGTGGGATAGGACAATATAGCTGGAAATAGGTGGTCCCACAAATAAGTCAGTCTTGTGCCACATAGGGCTTTATGGGTGATAACCAGCACCTTATATGGTATTGTACATGGCATGCCCATAATTACCTGCGCTGCTGTATTCTGAATCAATTGTAACTTCTGGATGATCTTCAAGGGCAGTGGCTAGTAGGCCACATTGCAGTAATCCAACAGAAGGATGTAGTTTTACCACAGAGAGGAAATCATTTTTTACTTGAACCTATTGTTCTACCACTGGAATTCTTTTCTTTTCTTTTTTTGCAGGGAAACTGAAGTCAGCCAATATTTCCACTGCATATGATGATATTGGTAACTATCAACATTTTATCATTGCTGTAAAATATAATACATATGCTGACATTGTTGCAGGCTAATAATAAGTAGGAAATATTTTGAGCTTTTGAAATAGCATGTAAATCAGTGATCTTTTCAGCTTTGAAACAAATGGAATTAGAGGCTTATCTGGTGCTTTTTGGCAGCGTTCTGCTAAACTACTGTATAGCACTGCAAATATTTTTGAAAAAATCCGCAGCCTATTATTGAAACCTTCCTAGGAAAGTCATGAAACCCATCATGATGGACTTCTTCATGATACTTGCCACCCATTACATTTTTCTATATTATTTTGTGGATTAAATTTTGCTTAGTGTAAACAAAGCCAAACAAAAACCAAAAATCAACTGTAGTATTGAGTGTCCTCACTGTATGCAAGAAAGCTAGATTCTCAGAAAGTCTCATAGTCAGGTCTATTACATGGAAAAACAAACAGAATCTTAGAAGCTGGATATGTGTATACTTTAGCCCCCCATTCATCAGTAAATACATTCAGATGGGTCCTCCTCAATGCCTCTGATCTTTTTTCTAGTTCTCTCTTGACTTAAGGGGCAGCTGGCTGCCTGTTGAGGAGATATGAACATCCATTGTTCTACAGTATTTTGCAAACATCCATCCTTGTTCCCCAGCCCAGAGAATTCCTTTGTATCTAGCTTATTTTTCTTGACAAAATTGTGAGAATGGCAGGGAATTAGGAATATTTAAACCATCTAAAAGCTATAGATGTCCAGGAGTGGGGTAAGTGACAAAATATGTGTTGTGACACATGTATGAAAGGGAGAGGTTTTGTATGTTTTATCATTTTGGCATCACTGTGGGTAGGTATGGATGCCTATGGCAAGCAAATTAAAATTTTGCAATTACAGCAGCACACCTGTTGACAACCTGGGCAACTTCTAAATATGTAGACTTCAACTCCCAGAATTCCTAGCAATGGCCGTGCTGGTTCAGACATTATATGAGGAGAGGTTGGAATCCGCACATACAGAAGTTGCCCAGCTTGTGAAACTCTGTTAGCTGATTTGAGTTGGCTGAGAGCAGAAGGCAAGACTAAAGGGGAAGAGCTGCAATGAGAGAATTGATCCATCACTTGGCTCTAAAATTACATGACATAAACATCCCCCTGTTGTAGGGGGATCTTTGTGCACCTGCCCTGCAGGGCCATCAAGGACCTTAAGGTTAGCTACCAAAAACACTCTTTTGTGCAAGTCAGACTGAATATCAGAGAAATAGCTGGCTAGGATAAATCCCCTTCTACATATGCCACTCTTACAGTAAGGGAGACTAGTCTTCAATCTTTCTGGATGTTAGACTGAAGTATTGCTTTAACCCCAGAGACACTTTCTCATATGTTCACTGAAGCAAGAATTGAGCTGAGAGGCTACAGTAGCTTAACTTTGGGCCTATGCTTTTCTTCCAGGAGGAAACCAACTTGACAATGAAAGTTATGTGGGTAAGAGAACCTTCCATGTAGTTATTCAACAAATTCTCCAATGTGCCCCTATAGAGAAAAGACCAGCTTCCAAGTGTAAGAGTGCACTTGTCACAGAGCAGGGGACACAGAGCATAGATCTTACAAATGCAGTCTAAGCCCTTCTTAGACTGAGCAATGAGCCACAATGATCCTTCTGATCAGGGGAGACAATCTTGTAGGGAGATCGTTATATCTGCCCTCCAAAACCATTGGTGGCATTAAGACTAGCCAACAGAAACACTCTTCTGTACAAACCCAGACAGAATATCAGAGAAAGAGTTGCTCTTATAAATTTAGCCTAAGTCTCTTCTTATACATGCAGAGCAGTGTACCATAAAGTAAAAGGCTCAACACATTGGCCTTAAAAAGCTTTCCTGGTTCAGGGACAAAATTATTGCCTCTACAACTAGCAAATCAAATAATCACATTGGACAGCTTTGGTCTTGAACAATGCCATCTTTTGTTTGATTCTTCCATACTAAGGAAGTTGACTCTCAAATATTTGAACTTCACTTCTTCCATACAATAGTGCTGTTATTTCTCTTACAATTATACTTACAATAATTACATATCTTGGTAAGCACCATTATTTTAGTTTTTCTGCAACAGTTTGCAAACTCTGTCTTAGGGTTGGGGTGCCTATAATTAGTAAGTGGAATAGAAGAGTAAGGGCACCATTAGTTTTGAGACAATACAAGCAGGAAGAAGAAAGGATAACCAGCCAGGCTGTTCTTTCTTAGATTTCCAACTGCCCTCTAAGGAGCCACCAGCTGAGAACTAAAAAACTGGGAGAGAATTAAAGAAATACCACCACAGGAAACTCTGAGTTGGTGAGAGGGAGACAAGGGGCAGGAATATTCCTTCTGTGGTTTTACTTTCTTGGCCTGAAGAAGATTATGGATTCTAGACATATGGATGCATAGATCTTGCTAAAGGTGGTTTGTTTGTTTCTGGTTCAGTGTGATATACAAACCCAGCCATTGTCACTGTAAAAACATTTTTATAGTTTAGCATTATCTATGCACCAGGCTACTGTGGCTTATTCAACAAACCTTGAATAAAGCAAACCATAACTTAGCATGTTATGTGAGCCCAGCCAGTAATAATCTTGTTCTAATTCAAAGCAGATTAAAAGTGTCAAAAACAAAGGCTGTGTTCATAAAACATGCAAAGTAACCTTTTGCTTAACCTCGTTTATAACTAAAATATAATTGGTTGAGTTCACACAATGCACTCTCCCGCAATCATTGTCACCTTGCAAATTATATGAACCAGCCATAATAACTAAATTGTGGCAAAACATAATACAAAAGTATTACAAACAATATAAAACATACCTTTCCAGCAACATCCATCATTGACTGCATCAACAATATAGAAGAGCATGATCAGAGTGCATACACAAGCCTACGTTTAGCAGGCCAATCAACATAGTCATTTGCATTTTTAAATGCACTCCAATGCCTGCACAAATAAAAGGCATATAAAAATGCACAAAGTACAATGATAAACACCAAAAACACAATAAGTCAACCAACTGGTGTTAATATTTTTGCTTTTTCAAAAACTCCAAAAGAGCCAGCGTTCAAGCAACCAACCAAAGCAAAGCAAGCCATCTACTGTATATAGACGACATTTGGGGGAAAAGGATCTTATACTGATGGCTTGCTAAACTTAAGTGTGTTGATTGATGCTGAGACTCAGATGCCTTTATAAATGCAGTGAGTCTTTTTCTTCAAAGGTGCTCTGAAAGCTCCACAATCAAGCAGACAGAAGAACCTGCACAGGATACAGACACACATCCTTTATTAGACAGGCCAGTCAAATCAACCCTGTATCAATACTTTTTGTATTTACATTACAACTGGGTTTTTTTTTGCACACACATGAAAAAAAAAACAGACAGTAGTTTACCTTCTAGGCCAGTGTTTTTCAAACTTGGCAACTTTAAGGTGTGTGGACTTCAACTCCCAGAATTCCCTAGACAGCATGGGTACACTGCACTGTTCTAGGCAGTTGGGCAGTGGCATGATGAGTCAGCTCTAGAACAGCTCCCTCACAGCACCATGTTTCCTTACATGCCTATTATTTCGCTCCAAAACTCCATCTCCAGGTCACTTCCAGTTAGTCTAAGTCCATAACAGCAAGGGCATAACAGGTCCTTCCTGCTGTACAGCCCAGAGGAAAATTCAAGATAACACTCCAATTGAAAGAGGCAAAACAACTTCCAATCCTATTATCAAAACAACAGAGAAAACTTTTCCATTCAAAACAGCTATTTTATTTCATGCTTGAACATCAAATCAGCCTGCATTGTTTTATACTCAAACCAAAACTCATGTGTCTTGTTTCAAGTATGAATAATTTTGAACTTGAATCATTTCAAGTCGGAACCATTTTGCATATCTTAATTCATGTTTGAAACCCTTTTGAAGAAATGTCACTTAATTCACTGTCCTCGTTATTTTACCTGATTTCTTTCTTGCATATCATTCAGCTTATGGAGTAACTGAAGAAAATGAATATTGCAATGTGAAAATTAAAACCAAGACAGAAGATTACAGAAATGGTAACTTTATCTTGTGTGGATCAAAAGCATTCTGTGTGAGGGTCTATGCACATGCCTATATCTATCTACGGATGACCAAGTGTGTACATTTGGGCTGGTGAAACTAGCCAATAATTGCAATAACATTAGCTAGTGCTACGTACCTAAACAGGAGCATATAATTTTTCCCTTAAAAAGACAATGAAAAAATCCACATCTGAGCAAGAGCTCTTTGTTGTTAGTTAGTAGATGATCTACTGCTAGCTTATATGCAGTAAGGATATCTATAAGTCACTTGCGTGTGAAGCAATGTAATTAAAATGCAGAGCATACATTAAAATAAAAATGTTTGTTTCTGTTCTAGTGATCATCAGTGAGGACAGTACAGTGAACTATGCAGAAGTCATCTGTAGATAAGAGTGATTCTTTTATACAACGAGGATGAATTTTTAAATTATTCTTTAGTTCTGCATTATTCTTGTCACTCTTCATCTGTACAACACAGCAGGCAATCTAACATCTGAGTAAGTGTCTAACATTGATGTGGTCCTGGGGTTCTCATCATTTTCCACCATGCCAAAAAATTTTGGTGGTGAACAATTTTGAACCATTCTAGTTTACTCACAAGGGTTATAGTAAGAGTTAAGAGAAAGAAGCTGACAAATGACAAATATACTGTATATAATATATATGAAATTCAAAACTATTTTTGAATGGTCAAGCCAAGAACTGATCAGGTCTTTTCTGTTCAGTTCTTCAGGAGTTCAGGATTATTTATTGTCCATCGCTAATTTGGCTCCAAGCTGATGTTCTGTTTTTATTAAAGTCATATAAGACCAATATGATGGTCACCAAGGCACGTAACACCAACTTTTTATATTAGCATGCCTTCAAACTTTTGGAAATGACGTTTATGTATATTGTGGAAAATGGGCAAAAAGAACAATTTGATTAAGTACATTAGGATGGTCCTTCTTCAGATGATAGATGTCTTATTAACATATCCATGCCAATTTCTATTCAAATCTGAATTACAGAGAAAAACAAGTAATACTGAACCTCTGAAATACCAGTGTGGTTTTTAAAAAACAAGATCTTAACTTGGAAACTGAACATTAACATATTTCTGTTTATATTAGACACGGTTCTGTAATATTATGAACTGTTGGAGCTAGCTCTATATGTGCAAGATTTGTCTGCATTACCTTCCCATCTCATACGGAAAGAAAGCATCTCCCAGCAAACACAACTGCATATTAGAGAAGGCACATTGTAGAAGACACACCTAAGGAAGAATCAGCATTCAGAAAGGAAGATACAAAATTGCCTTTATTTTAAAAATTCAAGTATTTTTAGCTGCAGATATATATTTGATTAAGAAGTCCTTTAATCTAGATATATGCATCATTTCCTTCAAAGTAGTGTCTCTGCTTCGAAGCTGCACCAGCCCATTCTCTAGTGTGGCATCACTGATCAGGACTGTGAAGAGCACACCCATTTCATCATACCTGCAACAGGAATAAGAGCGCAGGGTTTCTGCTCTAGTGTATACAGCAGCAGCAATATCAGGCGTGTATATTAGGAAAGCATATTTTAGGAATCAGAGAGTAGGTATGAACCATTTAAATCTTCTAAATTACTTCTAAATTACTTCAACAAATGTTGCTTACTTTTCAAATGGAGTCCTGAATTTTCAGAAGACAAATAAAAAGTAGATGGAGTTACATTTCACTCCAAGCCATAAAGTACTTTGTTTAAATCTGGCTTAGGTGAGAACTTATTCAAGTATGATTGATTCAATAAACCACAATTAAATTGTTAATTTATTCTATGAACTCAGTAAACTGTATGTTAAGGAATATGATTAAACTCAATTTAGAGATAAATGCAGTCATTTTTTTGGTATCTTAAGGCTAATTGGTTCAGAGACTTTGAGCAAATTTAACAACTTATCAATGTTGTTAATTTTTTCAACAATGTTTAGCTCTCAACATTAAATTATGCATTATAACCTTTTTTCCCCTCCTTACTTTGTATAAAGCTGCTCCAAAGAGGATTGCATGGTTTCAAGATAGCCAGGCCAAACAGAAATCCCATTTTCTAACAACTCCTTGAACAACCCTTGGCATACCTTTGAAAGAAAACTGTCCATCACTTTCTTGAATCATTAAATGAAAAAAAAACTGTAGTAGTACAAAATTTATATTTGGCACTAAGGAGATTTAAATTCATAAGATACTTTCTGGGTAAAAGAGAAAAGGAAAAATACTCTTATGCTAACATTGGTTCATTTCTTCCAATATATTTTATTTTCAATTTTCTACATTTTCTGCAAAACTCAGGACCTAAACTATTTTTGGGTAATTACTTTGATTTATTAGCAATCCACATTCATTCCTAGGAATAAAAGCTTGGTGCTCTCAGCTCCCATCCATTATAATCGGGCCACACAGGGTAGTTTTTCATTAGACTTTATCCTACAATTCAGTTCTCATATAGCATCTGTATAATATGATGTACTTCTAATATTCAGTATAGGTTTACCTACACTAATAACTGAACAGAATTATAAAGAGCAATCCCATACTTGAGTCCTGGTAGCCAAGAAGCCAAAAATATGAGAAAAGGCCCCAAAGATGTTAGACGGGCAAAGAAGCTTTAGAGAAGCAGTCAGAACCTGCTTCTGGAAGATTAAAATAATGGATCAAAGCTATAGGCTGCCTGTTAAATCAGAATCACAAAATTGGAAGGGACCTCAGAGATGATGTAGTCCATCACCCTGCTCAATGCTCATCACATAGATCCTCAGAATTATTCAGTTGTTACAAATAGGAGTTAGCTAAAAGTGGCTAATTGCAAATGACAACTGATGAGAGACAAATCGACAGTGTTTACTCACTTATATAAATTTACATTCAATTTATTTTAGATACTTATTTTCCATTTTAGATGCCTCAAGTTTAAATTCTACATGGTCAAATGTAGCATTGCCAATCTGCATGAGGTACAGAGGCTTAACAGAACAAACTTTATAACCCCAGTGAATTCTTGGGTGAGATCAAAACAGGATGGAGGCGCTCTATCCAGTTTTCCTACAGTTGTCATCTTTGGGTGGGAGGAAGGGCTTGAAAGCCTTTTCTTTTACCAGTCTAATAATCTGTAACAACTCCTCCTACTGTAGAGTGAAAGCTTTTCCAGTGCAAGTCTGACTGCACAAGATACTTGCATAGGAATCAGCTTCAGTGCCAGGCATATTAACAGGTTGGATCAAGATTTTTCTTCTCTACACAGCAGGATCCTCCATCCAACAATAGGCACAGAGAAGCCATATATGCATGAAGTTGTTTTCTCTGATTTATGTAGAATTAAATCTGCCCTATTGTCACACCATGGTTACTGGAAACACCCCAGCACTGAATGTAGATTCTGGCTAATTTTTTTTCTAGGAGAAGGGCTTCTATCTTTTATTAGAGCTTAGCCAAAAGAATTAGATGAAAAGTGCGTTAAAAAAAAATCAGCTACTTTCATTCAAATAGATGCATAAAAACTATTTAAAACATCTTCCTGTGATAGCTCACCTGCCTCAACTCTATTGCTGGGCCCCTTCCCACATCCAAAGCTACTCTGATGGGTGCCAAACATGGGTGAAGCTTAAGGACCTGAAATAAAACATTTATAAAAAATAAAATAATGTAAAAATAACCATTGCAAATATTCACAGAGCAAGACAGTTCTTGGAGCCAGCTTCTTTTTTCCCCTCAGTGGAGCTCCACACAGAATGCTCCTGCTGAAAAAATTAAGGTGATATTTGCTGACTTCCTGCTTCTTCTGCAGCCTCCAGTACTGTTTCTTCCATGCTTTCAAACTTCGGGGAGGGGGGCGCACATAGATGGGGAAAGTGGGGAAGGATCAAAAATCATACTTCTTCCCTATCAGCACATCAGAACTTTCCTATGGAAAAGGTCTAAATCCAGTCCACTGAAAGCAAGCAAACTACATTTATATTTTCAAATTTATGGCGATGGAATCTTTAATTCTCCAAATGAAAAGTCTCAAACAGGAGATAGCACACCATCAAAAATTAAATACGATTTCTAAACACGATGCAACGGAAGAATCTTACAGTCAGCTTTCATTTGCATTAATTTAATTATTTAAGGATATGAATCACCTTTCTCTGCAGGGCTTTCTTTTTTGTCAAACCATTTTCAGCCACTTGCATGCTATCACAGAGATATGCTAATACTCCACTGTCCAAATTGCCACTCACGGAGAGGATATGAGGAACAACATGCTTTCGCCCATCTCGACCCTGAAGAAGAAATATCAAAATGTGCATTCAGTAAATGTACATTTCAGCATTATCACCTATACCGCTTGTGTTACTATGTCAAAGGGATGATACAAAAAAGTGACAGAACTAACCTAACAACAGCACCAAAGAGTTTAATAAAACTTACATGCAATCTTGATACTCTTCCTGGATACATTTGTAACAGTTCATTGTCTCCCAGAATCCGCAGAGTTTCTATTGTTTCCTTCCCCCAGGGAAAATTATAATACAGATTGTTTCCTCTTCTTCCTTCTTCATTGTGACTGCTACTGCTGAAGTTGGACGGGCTTATTGCAAACTATAAGAAAGTAATACAAAGATGCGTGGATTTACAGAGTAAGCGTATGTAAGGTACACCCAAATTGAGTCTATCAATACTTATCTTAATTCTCAACACAGCTGAAAACTCTGCTTTTCACTTTGGAAAGCAAGTACATATTCATTAAGAAAAATCTGGTTAGAAAACCCTGTGCACCTCAGGGCCATACTAGACAGACACTAACTGCAATTTTGGTGATACCAGAAAAAACTATCCTAATTGCAACAAATTGTAAAAACTTACCCTAACATTCCCTAAAGTAGTTGTGAAAAAATGTTTTTAAAAATTGTTTGAAGTTTCTGCTTAAATTCAAAATTAACTTGGGACTGTTACATATAGAGACCAAATCTTATGGTTTTCTGCATTACTCAGATGGAAAGTAATTTAGTCACCCTTAGATTAACATTTAAGGCAATGAGCCGCAGGTATTAAATGTAAAAATATCCATTTTATTTTCACCCTCACAGCAGCTTTTTCAGAGGAACCCATTCAATATTTTTATAACTTTAACATATAATATAGGTAAGACCTCACGAAATACCTTTCTCCACCACTGGAGCCGCTGACGTAACCAGTAGTCAAGCCACTGTCCAGCTGTTCTGGCAGAGCTGTACCAAACTAGGGAGGCCATTGTCCTTTCACCTGTTCTTTAAAGAATACCAAGAAGAGGCCAACAAATAAGCAAATTGTTCTTCTTCTAGAAAAAGGCATAAACCTACAAAAAGTAATTTCGGAAGCTGGATTACTGTACCTCATGGGATTTTTGTCATTTGGATGAAAACATATTCCTATTTGAGCAAGTCCAAAAGGCAGTCTCTTGTTCACCAATTCCAAACATTCAACATAATGCTCTAAAGCACCTATCAACATAAATTAATAAACATCAACAGTTGTTGCATTACAATATTGCACATTAATTTCATTTATCCAGGAGAGAGGCAGGATGAACATATGCAATTATGCTATGCAGTGATGTAACTAGTTTATCTTCTCATAAAATCTCATGATTCAAATGCTTGATTATACTATATATAAAAGGACCTAATCTTGGACATAACTACACTTATCAAATCAAATATTTATTACAGTCATAGACCAGCATAAAACACTTAACATATCTGCATTTTCAATGAATAACTACTGTACCCATCTCTATACCTTCAAATGAAAGCTTAAACCACACACAGGAACACAACAGCCATACAGCTGTAAAAACATAGAAGGGGTCCTGGACTAGGCAATGGCTGTAAATGTCTGTTCCCAACCACAAATGCGCCAAAATGACAAAATGTGCATAGTGACGTTATAATGCAAGCTCCACCTTTTTCATGTGGATCTGTGGCAGAATTTGCACCGTGATGCATTTTTGTCACATATGGTCAGCCCTTTGAGGTACTCCAGACAGGAAGCACCAACCACGAGTACTAACACTGCCTTTATT